TTAGCTTTTAGCTACTGTTATGCTTCTTTTAGCACGAGTTTTACTAGAACCTGGTTAATTTTAGCTTCAGAATGTGTTTTACTGCTTTTAGCCAGTTATCATTTGCAAATTTTAGCTACTGTTTGTTTTAGTTACTGTTATACAGTATTCCATTTAGCATTTAGCTGCTGTTATGCTTCTTTTAGCATAAGTTTTACTAGAACCTGGTTTGTTTGTTAGCTTTAGCACTTTTTTACTGCTTTTAGCCAATTATCATTTGCAAACTTTAGGTACTGTGTTTGTTAGCTTTAGCATGTGTTTCACTGCTTTTAGCACATAGTTAGCTCATCTTAGTTGGTATATTCATTTTAGCTTTTAGCTACTGTTATACTTCTTTTAGCATGAGTTTTACTAGAACCTGGTTTATTTTAACTTTAGCATGTGTTTCACTGCTTTTAGCACATAGTTAGCTCATCTTAGTTGCTATACTCATTTTAGCTTTTAGTTACTGTAGTACTTCTTTTAGCATGAGTTTTACTAGAACCTGGTTTATTTTAGCTTTAGTATGTGTTTCACTGCTTTAGCCAATTATCGTTTGCAAACTTTAGCTACTGTGTTTGTTAACTTTAGCATGTGTTTCACTGCTTTTAACACATAGTTAGCTCATCTTAGTTGCTATACTCATTTTAGCTTTTAGCTACTGTTATACTTCTTTTAGCATGAGTTTTACTAGAACCTGGTTTATTTTAGCTTTAGCATGTGTTTCACTGCTTTTAACCAACAATCATTTGCAAATTTTAGCTATTGTGTTTGTTTTAGTTACTGTTATATTCATTTTAGCTTTTAGCTACTGTTATGCTTCTTTCAGCATGAGTTTTACTAGTACCTGGTTTATTTTAGCTTTAGCATGTGTTTCACTGCTTTTAGCACCTAGTTAGCTCGTCTTATTTACTGTTATATTCATTTTAGCTTTTAGCTACTGTTATTCTTCTTTTAGCATGAGTTTTACTAGTACCTGGTTTGCTTATGTTAGCTTTAGCATGTGTTTCACTGCTTTTAGTGTATTTTTCTTAGCAAATTTTAGCAAATGTGTTTGTTTTGGTCAGTGTTATATTCCATYTAGCAGGATTTTTGGCACATTATTTTAGGATGCTACTTAAAAAATAAATAAAAAATCCAAAATAACTGGAGTTTAATTCTGCAGCTGAAGCCGTTTTGTTTCCCCCTCTGAGGTTTCTGAGTTCAGAGCCGAGCAGCTCCTGCACTGGTTTTAATCTGCATGTGAATCAAGCTTACATAACTCTGCAGTKTGGAACAGAGGAATCTCCACATGGTTCTGCTCTACATCCTGATAGTTCGGTTTGTTGGTTCACAGACACGCTTTTTAAATGATGTTCAGATGTGTTAGAACACGAGCCGATTGTTCGGCTGTGAATCCCTCGTGGCCCATGCTGAACACAATCATACGTGTCAACATGCAAATCATCCCCATGTGTCTGAATGTTTACTGAAGGTGTGTGTAAGCAGGAAGTGTTGAYGTTGTACACTCCTGACTCGCTTCAGGTTGTAAAGGTTCCAGGACTTCTCTGGAGGAGGTGTGTGCTCAAGGTGACCAGTGGGCGGGGCTAGTCTAGTCACTCAGGTAGAGTGAGGTCACTCCCTCCTGAACAGGAACATGTGACTTGTGTGTGTGTAGGTGTGTGTGTGTGTGTGTGTTCCAGGATGTGGAGCTCAGGCATGTCACCTTGCTGCTGGAGCTGTAAGGGACAGCGCTGAGTCTTTACTGTAAATACGAGCTGAAGTCGGTGAGATTTTCCACTAATTATCTCTGACGTTTTCCAGGAAACTCCTATAAATTCTGACCTTTAGGGCTTTTGAGGACAAGAAAAAAACATTTTCAAAAGTAACCGTTTATATTTAGTTTTCAATTTTTCTGTATGTGTTTCGAAGTCTGACTACTACATGCTTCTTAAATTTTTAGCCATTCGTATGTCAAAATGTTTGGCTGATTCAGTTTTTGGAACTTTTATACTTTTCTAAATATTCAAATTTAATTAAAAATATTTCCTCCGTAAAAAAAAAAACATGATCACAACCTTCAGGTGAAAATGAAGACCCCAAACCCAGACCCAAACCAGTGGTTATTCCGTATGTTGCGGGTGTTTCGGAGAAACTGAGACGTTTATTTTCTAAACATGATGTCCCGGTAGCTTTCAAACCCCAAAACACATTACGGCAAAGGCTGGTTCACCCCAAAGATCCGGTGCCCCGGCACAAACAGAGCAATATTGTATATGCTGTGAAGTGCCAGGAGGACTGCGACCAGTTATACATCGGGGAAACAAAGCAACCACTGTTCAAAATAATGTCCCAACACAGACGAGCTACATCTAATGGCCAGAACTCTGCAGTTTTCACTCATTTACAGGCCAGCGGTCACTCTTTCAGAGATGAGGATGTTCTCATTCTTGATAGAGAGGAACGTTGGTTTGAGAGAGGAGTAAAAGAAGCCATTTTGGTGAAGAAAGACCGTCCATCATTAAACAGAGGTGGAGGCCTCCGTTTTCAGTTGTCACCCTCCTACAGTGCTGCTATTGCCAGTATCACTCCACCCCCTGTTAACAATAGGTGTTAATTAGGTGTCAACGATAGCCATGTGATGTGAGTATCAGTCACATGGAGGCAGGGCTTAAAAGCCTGAATTTTGCCTGAAACTCTCAGACTGAAGAAGTCTCTTGGAGGAGAGACGAAACGTTTCATTAAAGAAGAACCCGTCCAGAAGACCTATACGATTTTTTTCTTTTTGATTTTTTACCTGGATTACTGAGATGCATCAGGACATGATCACGATATTTCCTTCAAAAGTAGTTCTCTTTAAAATCTGCTTAAACAGATAGTTTTTTAATGCTCTAATTAGCTTTGTTAGCCTTTTGCTACTTTTAGCTTTTAGCAGGCAACTGCCACTCTGCTGCCTTGTTAGCTTCTTGTTAGCATTTTTACTCATTTAGCTTTATGATAGCTTTTTCTTCTGTTAGTCAACCTTTTGCTAAACTTTGCTAAGCTTCTAGCTATACTTTTGCTACATTAGCTATTAGCGTTCCCTTTGCTGCTTTAAGATTCCTGCTAGCATTTTGTTACATTAGCTTTTAGCTATCTGTTTGCTGGTTTAAGCTTCTAGCTAGCGTTTTACTACCTTTTTAATAGCCCTTTAACATTTTGCTGCTTTGAACTTTTTCAAACAGTTTACTGCTGTTAGCATTCTGCTACAGTTTGCTGCTTTTGCATATTAGTTAGCCTTTTGCTACTTTTAGCTCTAAGCTTCCATTCTGCTGCTTTTACCTTGGTTGGTTAGTTGCTACTTTAGTCTTTTGCTAGCATTGCTGCTTTTAGTCTGTTGTGTTTATCTATATTTCTTGAACGGGTTGTTCCGAACTGTAATTTCCCTTCATGGGGTCAATAAAGTATCGTTCGTTCGTTCGTTCGTTCAACTTTTAGAGCCTGTTTTGCCAGTTTTAGCTAGACTTTTGCTTTTAGCAGACCTGCTGCTGTTGCTTCTGGCTAGCATTTTGCTACATTTAGATAGACCTTTGCCTTTTTGCTACATTAGACTTTTGCTATCCTTTTGTGCTTTTCATTAGCATTCTGCTACTTAATCTTTGTAAATATTTAGCCAACTTTAGCTGCCATTCTGCTGTCTTTAGTTTGGTTGGTTGCTACTTTAGTTTTATGCTAGCCTTCTGCTTATAACTAGCATCTGATACTTGGATTTAKTTAACCTTTAGCTGCTTTTATGTATTAGTTAGGCTTTTGCTAATTTAGCCGTTTGTTAGCCCATCGCTTCTTATAAACAGGGTTTAGTTRCTTTACTTTTTTGCTACAATTTAGTTGCTTTTAGCTTTTAGACCCTGTTTTGTTAGTTTTTGCTAGATTTAGCTACCATTAGCTTTTAGCAAACCTTTTGCTACTGTAGCCTCTAGTGTCTTGCTACTTTGACTTTTAGCTTATGTTTTGATTTATTTTTAGCTTTTAGCTCATGTTTTACTGTAACAGCTCAGTTTTCAGTCTTCTTTGTTTTGATATTTTTGTTTCAGATCAAACCAGTCAGTTCTGAGGTGGGCCAGTGATGTCGCCCCCAACACAGGTCCCGCCGCCGTGCCCCCGCCGGACGGTGGCTGGGGTTGGGCCGTGGTGTTGGGTTCCTTCATCTCCATCGGCTTCTCCTACGCCTTCCCCAAAGCCATCACCGTCTTCTTCAAGGAAATCCAGATCATCTTCGACGCCTCCTACAGTCAGATCGCCTGGATCTCCTCCATCATGCTGGCGGTCATGTACGCCGCAGGTGAGTCACTGGAGTTTCAAAATAAAAGCCTGAACAGACGGGTTCTGAGAAAAAAAAGAAAAGGAAAAGTCTTCAAACGGTCYGGATGTGTTTCCAGACGGATATTTGCTCCAGCATATTGCTGCCATGACCTGTTGAGGTTCGAGCGTCCAACTTTCGCCCGGGCGCCGCCATGGCCGCCATCTGTCCTCTGCGTAATCCTCTGGTCTGAACTGGTGCTGCCGCCCGACACCATCTGTGTTCGTCAGCAGCAGGAGAGCAGATTTCAATTTGGTCAGTTTGGATCCAACGACTCGAAAGTCTGAGTCTGTTAGATAATTAACTCTGAAAAGGTTTCTGGATGTTTCTGATTATCAGCTTCCCTCTGATTGGTCCAGAGGGTCCAGGGGGTCAGGGGGGTCAGGGGTGGTTCTTTACTGATCTCCCTTTCAGCTCGCCAAAGCCTGAATGTCATCACGGGGTGCCGACTGTGTCGCTGCGTGCCGTTAGCGAGCGAAGGTGTTCCTCGCTGATCGGGCACCGATGGTTCTCATTAAACACCTGCTCTGTTGTTCTGCCGTTACACTGAGGATTCCATCACTCTGAGTGTTTAACACCGTTCTAATGCCCCACAGCTGCTCCTGTGTGTGTGTGTGTGTGTGTGTGTGTGTGTGTGTGTGTGTGTGTGTGTGTGTGTGTGTGTGTGTGTGTGTGTGTGTGTGTGTGTGTTTACACAGCCCTGTCATTACAGTCAGGCTGCCTGATAATGAGCACACAGTGATGAAGCAGGTGCTTCAAACCTTCAAACCTTTGCTTTATGACCTGATGCCGACACATCTGTGTTCTGTGGTCCAGTTAGAGAACAAAACAACTCAGTTATTTACTTTATTTATCTGATTCTGAATTAACTCTTCCTGATCAAGGCTTTCAGCAGTTTGCACTGATATTTAGCTTTTTTTTTGTCATTTTTGTTTTCTCTTTGTAAATAAATGAAGCGTCTTCAGCGCACTTTAAATGTTTATAAAAACTTACTGTAACTTTTACCTTTTGTTCTGGTTCTGCTTTTTAACTTTTTGCTAGTTTCAGATTCCTTTAGCTTCTGTTTGAGTGATTTAAGCTTTTTTGTATTTTTTTAACATCAATCTGAACTTTTCTGCTAATTTATGCTTCTTCAGCTAATTTTCTTTTGCCAGTTTAAGCTTTTTATGCTTCTTTCAGCTGCTTCTTTTTTTTTTTTACTAATTTCAACTTTTTATGCTTTCTGCTAATTTTAGCTGTTCTCTGTGTTTTTAGCTAATTTCAGGTAATTTAAGCTTTTTCTGCTAAATTCACCTTTTTCGTCATAATTGCAGCTTCTTGCTGCTTAATTTAGCAAACATGTTCTTTCTGTATCTATGTRATTTCAGCTACTTTTAGATTAGTTTCAGCTTTTTTTAGCTATTTCAAAACTAATTGCAAGTTTTTTTAACTTCTTTTCTTGTTTTTTTGCTAATTACTGATTTCATCGGCTTTGTTGATTTGAGCTTTTTTGTGTTTTTAACTACCATACCGACCTTTACTATTCTTCTGTTAACTTCAGCTTTTTATGCTCCTTTTCACTAGTTTCTGCTAATTTTAG